TTATTGATTTCTATATGGAGGATGGGATTTTGAGGTTAAGGATGTATTAAATGAGTATAAATTGGTTTAAGCATATGTATGTGAGTTAAGAACATGAAAGGGGAGGAAACATGAAGTGTTGAAGCTGAAAAGAGTGAATTTTCATGCTTAAAATATGATTTATGGACAAAGTGTATCGGTACACATTCAACAGGTACCGATACACTCTTAAATGAAAAACCATCGAATTCAATAAGTGTATCGATACATAGGCAGTGTATCGATACCCCCTTGAAACGAAAACTTTTGAATGTAACTTGTGTACCGATACATAGGCGGTGTACCGATACATAGGCGGTGTACCGATACACCGGTTAAGGGATGTACCGATACCCTATAGAGTGTATCGATACCTACATTAAATAAAAATGGAATTCACCTTTCCTTTAGTTTAAGAAACGAAAGATTAGAGTATGTTGTTTGGAATACTGATATGTATCAATGTGTGATCATGTAGATATTGAACGTAATTTTCATCCTGGAACAATCGAAGAATTAGAATCAATTCGAATCAAGTGAGACTAAGGTGAGTGCTTAATAGAGTTATAGTTCAATGGAATTAAGACTTGTGATAAGTCTATTCCCTGTATTAGTTTTCATAGTATAATAGTTATGAACATGCATACATGATGATTGTTATAGATATGTGCATAAGTCATATAATGTTTATATGATTTGATAAACGATATATGATTTATATGATATATGATAGAATAAAAGAAATATGTGACTACAAGGGAAATGACATGAGTACATGAAAATATGAAGCATAAGAATAATGCCCATGTTATATGATATGAGAGCTATAGGTATAGTTGGCATGCCAAGAGTCGAGGGTTACATAGGTCCTTCGGGACATATACAGAGGTCTATTGGGACAAATACATAGGTCCTTTGGGACAAATTTCATATGCCCCTAGTGGGACCCCATACGAGTTGTGGTGACAGCATATGTGCACAACCTCAATGTACTCGAATACCTTAAGTTCTTAGTAATGTACATGGGCCTATAAAAGGTATCAAAAGTGTTTACATTAATACATGTTATCAGATTATTAATATTTACACTGAATCATATGTAACATGATTGAATAATTAGATTACATGTTCATATTATAGGAAATGCAGTATTATTATATTTTTATGCCTCACTAAGTCTATGACTTAGTGTGTAAGCGTTTTACATGTAGGTACTGAAAAGCAGGAGGATCAAATATAAGTTCAGCAAAACAACATATCTCCACTCGAAGATCAGAAGTACTTTACACAATATGTCTTGTTATGTAATAAATAGGTTGGCATGCAAACAAAGTCGTTAAGTATGTATGCTCTTATGGTTTTTGTAATGCTTTGAACATATTTATGTAAAGGGTTAACTTTATATAGTAATGAAAGTTTAAAAATTTTCACAATTTTTTATAAATGTAAACGTTTTGAATAGTCAATGTGATACCTCAGATTCGTATCCGGGCCGGATACGGGTTGGGGTGTTACAAAGTGATTCATTCAATGTATAAGATTTGTCACCATTTGAATATGGAAACAATTTGGGGACAAATCGCCTAAAAGAAGGGGGATGATGTGGTCACGCCTACACTAGATCCAGAGCCAAACAATTCAGAGAAGTACTCTTAACTAAGTGTCTTGAAGCTTTCAATTAATTTGACAAGTTAACACCACCCAATGCTAAGTTATATAATGTTTTAATAGATGAAATGTAACTTAACATATCCACATCTTTATATTACTTGTTGCATGATGTTATTTCAAGCATATTATTGATTTATATTAGTCTTGCATCCATTTAGCTAAGTTTCATTTCATTCAAGAATTGACAGCATGCTCATTCTTTCATTTCTTAGCTCATTTCCATTCAATTCAGCTCCTAAGTCATATACATTAGCTTACATATATTATATCATATAGTTCTTAGCTCATGACATGCATTCATAGCTCATAAGTCCACAAACATGCACGACAGCAAGGTAATTCATTCATTCCAGCTCAATTCCTTTTATTTACCTTGTTTTCTTTGCACATATAAGTACATGGAAGCACGACACACATTAGGGCAGCTTGAGGAAGTATTTGGCACTCTATGGTAGCTCACAATCTCCATGGCAGCTCGTGGAAGATAATGGGAAGCTCAATTCAGCTGGAGGAGCTAAAGGCTAGCTAAACTCAGATCGGTGGACTAAATGAAGCCAAGTTGCTAAAAGTGGCCAAATAGGTAGCTGAAGGCAGCTAGGAGAGTACTTAAGGAACCAAGAAGGTCTCGACTAGGAAGCTCATTCACCACCAGCCCTTGCATTTCTAGCTAGCTACACACTCAAGCAAGCTTGGAGGAGAACCCATGCACGCCCAAGGTGATGCACATGACCAGCCTTCATCCTATGCACAAGGCTGCACCACAAGGCTCTCTAGAACTCCCATATGCATGCCATATGACCAGCAAGGCGTGTGCCATGCGTGTCAAGCATCCAACCAACATCAACATTCGACCAAGGCATGTGTTGCTTCAAATTAGCGCCTAAATTGAAGGGATTCAAGGACTATTCGGCCAAGGCTAATGACTCTCTATTCCAACCGAAACATCACCTATGCTTCTAGATTATTTTTCAAATAATTAAGTATTTTTTAAGGGACACAAGGGTTAGTTGAACCACCATGTATACATTCGGCGATGTCTCTTCATTTCTATAAATAGGCTAGTTCTATTCATTTGTAAACACATCTTTCTTATAATTATTCAAGTGAGATTTATCTCTTTACTCAAGTCCTTGGTGACTTTTATCGACTTATCAAGTATTTCCATACTTGTGGCGTCAACCCCTTCCATTTGATACTTGTGGTTCCTAGATTATTATCTAGTGGGTCCAACTCCTTTCTACCACCCCTTAAATAGTCTTATAAGGTTGGGTATTTTCTCTCCTATAGCACTGGTTCTTCCTTAGTTTATTTAAGATAATATCCTACACTTTTCTTTGTTTCATAAGCCCAAACCATTACCATATCAACCATACTTCTGCAACCAACTCTCAAATCAGAAATAGCCTCTCATTTTCACCTACATCAACTACCAAGCCATTCTATTTGAGCCATTCACTTGTTTGCAGGTTGTTTTGCTTCCTTCCTATATCCGCAATCAAATCAAGGTACGAGTACCTTACATCATAAACACATTGGTGAGGCATCATATGGCAACTTGGTGGAGTGAAGTAACAAGCATGGTGGCTCAAAGTTAGCTTACAAGGTGTTATGATACCTCACATATCTCGAAGGAGCTTAATGGAGCTAAAAGAGTAGCTGAAGGAGCTGAACGGGAGCTTAATCTAGCTGGACATGAGATGAAGTCTGGGGAGCTGACAAGTGAAGCTGGGCTAAATGGATGGGAGCTGGAGCAGCTGGAGTGACACTAGGTGCCTAGCTAGCTACCTCACTTACCTAGCTAGCTACACCACCTACCTAGTTAGCTACACCACCTACCTAGTTAGCTACCAAGTCAAGCCACCTAGCAAGGGACCATGTGTTGTCCATATGACATCAAGTTGGTGCCAAACACCAAAGAGACACCTCCATTCGGCCTAGAGATACATCTTTCCCTCAAACATCATGTGCATTCTGCCTTGGAGAGCAATGCTTTCATCATGGTTCCCAAATGCATTCAAAGCCACCCAAATGCATTCAAAATGCTCCCTTGGCCGAACCAACACTTAACCATTCGGCCTAGGGCATGAATCTTCAATAAAAGACACGAAACTTCATCAAAAACTTGCTTTTTCAAAGACTTTTCACACTTAGACGAATTTATTACTTTGTTTTAGGCTTAGGGACATTATTTTTCATTAAATGAACATGTATCTTCCAAAGGGTTCAACCTAGCCAAATAGATTTGTCACCATTCGACAATGCCGTTTGGAAATCTATAAAAAGCCAATGCCTTGGCATTTGTAAGGCATATTTTTTCATATCAATATACTTGTGAGATTTTCTCTCTTTAAAGTTCTTTTTAGAACTATATCACTTATCAAGTATTTTATACTTGTGGCATCACCCCTTATATTTCTCACCTTGTTACTTGTGGTTCCTATCTCTTTATAGATAGTGGGTCGAAGTCTTTGTTTACCACCCTTAAAGATGCATATAAAGTCTGGGTCTTTGTTCTTTAACATTGGTTCTTCTTTTAGTCTTCTTTAAGTTACTATCTTCATTTTCCATCACATTGCCGAGGACCATCTTCACCAACAAAGGCCACCTTCAAGATGTGCAACATATCATCACCTTCATCACATTATTCTGCAGCCAACTCTTACATCATCTTATCTTTATCTTATTCCATCTATTTCAGTCATTACTTATCATTTATATCATTCTAACTTAAACTTTTCTTATTTGCAGCCCCAGCTTTTAAAGTGGAAACATCACTTATTGTTTATCCTAGATCGGGAAACAATCAAGGCAGCCCATTCTTCTTCACCCTTGGAGGAGTGTGGACGGTCTTACATCAAGAAGTGTGTATTTCTTTTAACTTCCATTTCCTGCGTGTTTGCTGAATAATTAAGAGTGATAGGAACTTTATCGTATATTTTAGGTTTTTCTCGTTCTGATTGTTGATGGGAAGTATAGGTTTTTGGTTCACATGGTTGGTTGAGGTTCATTTAATTCTAAAATTGATGAGCATATATTGTGGGGCTTTTAGCGTATTGTCAGTTCCCTTTGCTTGATGATTGGGAAGTTGTTGTGGATTAACATTTAGGGAAAGAGACAGGTTCCGAACTATTTAAGGATTTCAAGAATTAGAACTTTAATCGAGTGTTTTGAGTAGTTAAATACTAAATTCCTTTCTTTTTCCTTTTGTTTTCTCCATGTTTCAGTCGCAACTGATTGGACATTTTCCTTGACATCAGTGCCTGTTATTATCAGAGGTGTTTTAGTGTTATGGTGTCTTGTTTGGAGTTATAACAGTTACTAGATCAATGCCCTTGCAATGTTGTTATCCAAATGCAGCCGAGCCATGTAGATACGAGTTGAAAGTTATTCTTTTACCCCAAAGAACAGAGTAGGTACAACTTGTTGTAGCTGAATAATCTAAATTATTGAGATCTTAAAATACTCAAAGTGGGAAGAAGCAATACTTGCTGTTTCCCCACTTTTGGTAAATAATAAATACCGACTACAATATTCCAGTTAGTGGCAACCAGAGTGCAATGCTGATTTTATAAAACAGGAAATTGATCAAATCTATAGCATCATTTCTTCTAACACTTCCCGTCCATGAAATTCAAATGAATAGTGGAAATCCAAGTATGCAAGAGCCTTGAGGTGGGTAATTTTTTCCATCAAAAGCTCTTCTATTTCTTTCCCTCCACAACATAGAATAAGTAGTTAGATTTGAATCTGTCACATTTTGTTTTATTTTTTATACACGAATGTATAGACTTCCAAGATTATAACTCCTTGTCAGTTTGAGTCAATCTTTCTCTCTGCAGCATTCACAAAATAGTTAAGATGGATTTGAATTGGTAGCATTTTTCTGTCTGTATAAGAATGTGCACTGATTCAATATTATGAGTCATTTTCAATACAAGAATTGATATGAATAGTGGAAATCCAAGTATGCAACTGCAAGAGCCTTGAGGAGGGTTACTTTTCCATCTAAAGCTCTTCTATTCCTTTCCCTCCTCGACATAGAAAAAGTAGACCGATTTGAATCTATCACATTTTCTTCTTTCTATACAAGAATGTGTGGACTTCCACGATAGCAACTCCTTTTCAGTTTGAGTCAATTTCTTTCTTCTGCAGCAATCACAAAATAGTTGAGAGGGATTTGAATGTGCATCATTCAATATTATAACTCATTTTCAATTGCTTGAGAGTTTTCATGGTGATATCATTAGGATTTGGAACTAAATGGTGTTCTCAATTACAGAGCTAATCATTTCTAGGAAAGAGAACTGTTTTCTTCTTGAATTTTGTTTAAATCAAGTCTGCCCTTTTGGATTGAAGGATTACTGATGCTGAAGAAAACTTAGATGAAAGTGAAGTTCGAGAAGCGCATTTAGCTAAATCCTTATATTACATTCGGATAGGTAAAAAGGTATTTACTATTTTAAGTTATTACTCTTGAAGCTATTCCAGCTCATCTATTTATGTTTGAGTGCTGTATTCCTCATCTTGACCTCTGTGCTTCTCAATCTATGAGGAAGAATTGGAGCAACTGAAGGTGACAGAAAGCAAGACTGTTGTTGTTGGGCAAAACATGTACTTGGTGTTCTATACATTGCAAATAGGCTTGTTCTATATGGATTTTGATATTATTTCCAATAGCATTGATAAAGCGAAAAAGTATGTAATCATATTTATCAACTGTTTCTATTACTTCAAACTTTTGCATAACTTGAGATGTGTGCCTTTTACGTGCTGTGCTCCTGTTTTGGTTCCAGCTTGTTTGAAGGAGGGGTGACTGGGAGAGGAAGAACCGTTTAAATGCGTATGAAGGCTTGTATTGCTTGTCCATTCCAAAATTTAAGAAGGCTGCCAATCTGTTTTTGGATTCCATTTCAACCTTTACAACTTCTGATCTTTTCCCTTCTAATACATTCATATTTTACACTGTGCTTACAAGTATCATAACATTGGATTGAGTTTCCCTGAAACAAAAGGTAACATTCTTGTCCTATTACTTGTATTCTTTATTATCTGGGTCAGTTACAATGTCTAAATCTTGAAGGTGGTTGATGCTCCTGAAATCCTGACTGTGATCGGAACAATTCCACATCTTTCCGAATTTTTGAACTCTTATATGATTACCACTACAAATCCTTCTTCTTGGCCTTCGGTATGCATTGGTCTAACGATTTATTAATACATAGCAAATTGTTAGTTTGTGCCAAACTCCATCCCTTATCCAATTCTACTACTATCCAACATTTAAGAATTTGTCTCATGATGGGTCAAAGCTATTTTTTTCACGGATCTATTCATTCTATTTGTTTGAATTATATATCAGCTGGCCTGACATAGCGTATAAAACTGGACCGATATTTGCATCCTCATTCCCGGTTTTCCATGAGGGAAGTCAGAACTGTTGTGTACTCTCAATTTCTAGAGTCCTACAGGAGTGTTACAATAGAAGCCATGGCAAAGGCTTTTGGGGTGACACTGGAGTTCATTGATATGTGAGTAACCTGTAATCACCATTTTTCCTTCTCCAATACATATTACAAAACCCAAAATATAACCCAACCTAAAATCAATACCCAAATTCATTTTACAACCAGGCCCTAACCCAATACTCCACCAGGCCCTAAACTAAAACTTCATACTCAAACCGGCCCCAAGCCAAGACCTGAACCGGCCTCAAGCTAAGACCCGAACTGGCCCTAACCAAGCCACCCAAACCCCCCCAATCAATTGTAGCCGACTCAGTGCCCAACCAACACGCCACCATCTCCATCTCCATGCTCTTGCAGAAAATAGAAAGCAAGCAAGCAAGAATTTTGTAATCATTTTTACTTCTCTGTAAAATGGGTATAAAACCTGAATGAAGGTTACTGTAAAACGGTCGGTTTTCTGGTCAACAAAACACTGTAATATGGTTTTCTCTGAAGTAATAACAAGAGTTCAAAGGTTATTTCCATTCGGTTTTATATATATTCAAACTATATTTATTTTTATTTTTTTGTTCTTTTTCGTGTTTTGCTTTCGGTTTTGAATCTATGTGAAAACAAAAGTTTTTTTAGACATCGAAATAAAAATAGTCTTTTAGTTTCCTTTTAAAAAATAATAATATATATATGTGTGTGTATATATATATATATCAAATAACAAGCAAACTAGGCCCTTTTTTATTTCAAACAACAGTAATATCCAGCCATTTTTACAGTAAAAATACGAAAAAAATAAGAGGAACGTAGATCGGTCATTCATAAGCTCATTATGAATTCCGTGGGTTGCACACTTAGTGTCGATACGGTCGTTCATAAACTTATTATGAATTTCATGGGTTACACATTTAGTGTCGATACGGTCGTTCATAAACTTATTATGAATTTCGTGGGTTGCACACTTAGTGTCGATACGTTCGTTCATAAACTTATTATGAATTCCGTGGGTTGCACGCTTAGTGCTGATACGATCGTTCATAAACTTATTATGAATTACGTGGGTTGCACACTTAGTGTCGATACGGTCCTTCATAAACTTATTATGAATTATGTGGGTTGCACACTTAGTGCATAAATGGTCGTTCATAAACTTATTATGAACTTCATGGGTTGCACACTTAGTGCCGATACGGTCGTTCATAAACTTATTATGAATTTCGTGGGTTACACACTTAGTGTCGATAAGGTCATTCATAAACTTTGCACACTTAGTGCCGATACGGTCATTCATAAACTTATAATGAATCACGTGGGTTGCACAGTTAGTGCCGATACGGTCGTTCATAAACTTATTATGAATTATGTGGGTTGCACACTTAGTGCCGATACGGTCGTTCATAAACTTATTATGAATTCTGTGGGTTGCACACTTAGTGTCGATACGGTCATTCATAAACTTATTATGAATTTCGTGGGTTACACACTTAGTGCTGATACGGTCATTCATAAACTTTGCACACTTAGTGCCGATACGGTCATTCATAAACTTATTATGAATTATGTGGGTTGCACAGTTAGTGTCGATACGGTCGTTCATAAACTTATTATGAATTTCGTGGGTTGCACACTTAGTGCCGATACGGTCGTTCATAAACTTATTATGAATAATGTGGGTTGCACACTTAGTGTCGATACGGTCCTTCATAAACTTATTATGAATTCTGTAGGTTGCACACTTAGTGTAGATATGGTCGTTCATAAACTTATTATGAACTTCGTGGGTTGCACACTTAGTACCGATACGGTCGTTCATAAACTTATTATGAATTTCGTGGGTTACACACTTAGTGTCGATACGGTCATTCATAAACTTTGCATACTTAGTGCCTATACGGTCATTCATAAACTTATTATGAATTCCGTGGGTTGCACACTTAGTGCCGATACGGTCGTTCATAAACTTATTATGAATTTTGTGGGTTGCACACTTAGTGTCTATACGGTCGTTCATAAACTTATTATGATTATGTAGGTTGCACACTTAGTGTCGATACGGTCGTTCATAAACTTATTATGAATTTCGTGGGTTGCACACTTAGTTCCGATACGGTTGTTCATAAACTTATTATGAATTTCGTGGGTTGCACACTTAGTGTCGATTCGGTAAATGCAATACATACATTAAGCAAAATACATCTGACTATCATAACATATAAGTACATAATAAATGCACACACCTGGTTTGCCTCGCTATTATGCCCAGAATGTAAATCCGACTAATCGGCGACTTTATCCTTGCCTTTCTGTTTGCTTGACTCAGTAGCTTGATTATGATCCACACAAGCATCCATAATCACACATACCATACAATTGTAAATATATTTTCTTACATTTATATAAATTAATAAAAACTCAAAAGTACTATTATTCTCGAATTCTATTTAAGCTCATCTTAACCTATAATTTCAGGTTGCTTAGTATCGATACCTTTTCTATGGTATCGATACACCCTTCAGTATCGATACGATTTTTGCATTATGGAATACATTTTTTAATAATGATATCGATATCTCCCTCTTGGTATCGATACCTCACTTCAGTATCGATACTGCTTGCATAAGTATCGTACTGTTCATTGTGTTCATCCTCATTCCTCAAATTTAAACCTATAGTATCGGTATCGTTCTTCGAGTACTGATACCCTAACCCATATTTTACATAGTTCACTTCGATTTTTACCAATTTTCTGCCAAAATCTCTTATTTTTATCCCTAGCTATACCAATAAACTCATCATTAATTGAACCAACTGTCTTACATCCATAAATCTCCTTATAACATCCAATAACTCCAAAGAACCCTTTAAAACTAAAATCACACCCAAATTTCAAACATGTTTTTAACCACTTCTAAAGCTCCCAATCTCTTATTTACCTCTTTGACAAGTCAAATATACCTTTAAACTTCAATATCAAACCAAATTTCATCAAATCCTTTTAAAACCCATTATCTTAAATCTCAAATAAAACCTTCATCTTTTAGTTTTAATCCTCATTAAACTTTCCTTGAGCCTCTATAACACTTAAGGTTTCAAAACCAACCTAAAAACGAAACGGAAAACCAACTAACTAAAGTCTTACCTTTGCTATGGGGGGCTCAGGGCGTGAGGATGAAGAAGGAGAAGAGAACACTTCAGACCTATCTTTTATTTCGCATATTCCCCTTTTATTTAATAACCCCATTTAAATGAATATTAAATTCATTCCATCAAAAGGACCAAATTTCCCCTCCATTATTCCATTATTATTAATAAGTCTCAATCAAAATATTCTAAATCATTCCATATACTATTCAATTTGCTCAATTTAACCCATCAAAATTTAAATTTTTCACTATGGTCACTTATTCGATATTTGGGGTATTATAATTATCCCCTTAAGAAAATTCGTCCTCGAATTTTATGAAGTACCTAATAAGAAGAGGTGTGGAAACTACATCCTCATGTCCTCATCTCTTTCCCAAGTAGCTTCTTCTAATTTATGATTTTGTCAAAACACTTTAAGCAGAATGATCTTCTTATTACGCATTTCTTTGTTTTCTCGTGCCAAGATCCGCACTGGTTTTTCCTCGTAAGTCAAATCTGGTCGGATCTCAATTTCCTCTGGTGTGATGATATGTGATGGATCTGATCGGTACTCTCTAAGCATCAACACATGAAAAACATTATGGATCTTGTCCATATCGGGAGGCAAAGTTAACTGATAATCTACTAGTCCGACCCTTTTTAAAATCTGATAAGGTCCAATAAATATTAGACTCGGCTTTTCCTTTGCACCTGAACCGCAATACTTTCTTCCAAGGTGATACTTTCAGAAATACCTTATCTCCCACCTGAAATTCAATCCATTTTCTCTTCAATCACCATAAGACTTTTGTCGATCGGAAGCTATCTTAAGATTATCTTGGATAATTTTCACTTTATCTTCCATCTCTTTCATTAAATCCGGGCCAACAAGATCTCGATCTTTTAGCTCAAATCAATTTAATGGTGTTCGACACTTCCTCCCATACAAGGCTTCATACAGAGTCATTTTAATACTCTATTGGTAATTGCTATTATAAGCAAATTCCTCCAAAGACAAATATATTTCCCATGATCCTTTAAATTCTATCACGTATGCCCTTAGCATATCCTCCAATACCTGAATAGTTTACTTTGACTTCCCATCTGTCTGTGGATGAAAAGCCGTACTGAAATTCAATCGAGTACCCAATGCCTCGTGCAAAGACTTCCAAAATCTCGAAGTAAACCTGGGATCTCGGTCGGGTACTGGCGAAATTGGTACTCCATGCAACCGAACTATCTCTTTATATACAACTCCGCATATTTATCCATCGAGTAATCTACTCGAACTAGAAGAAAATGAGTCATCTTGGTCAATCTGTCCACAATTACCCATATTGAGTCCTTTTTACTAGGTTTTGAAGGTAGTCTTGAAACAAAATCCATTGTAACTCGTTCACATTTCCATTCTGGAATGGATATCGGTTGTAGCAATCCAAAAGGCACTTGATGCTCAGTTTTCACTTGATGATATGTCAGGCATCTTGCAGCAAAATCTGATATAACTCTTTTCATGCCAACCCACCAATATCGACTCT